TAATACCCGTACTGGCGTCTTAAATAGTAGGCTGTTTAAGTATGCAGCCATCATTTCTCAGAACAAGAATAGACTGACGAGGTTCAGAAGAAAGTTCTTTGTTTCTGGCCATTTTGAGCCTGTAATCGAACCCACAATTGCTGATTCTCCAGATACTCAACTAGTCTCATGAAGGCCAGTTTTATTGCTTCTTTAATCAGCACAACAGTTTTCAGCTGTGCAACATAATTGCAAAAGGGTTTTCTAATGATCAATTAGCCTTTTAAAATGATAAACTTGGATTAGCAAACACAACGTGCCATTGGAACACAGGACTGATGGTTGCTGATAACGGGCCTCTGTACGCCTATGTAGATATTCCATTAAATATCAGCCGTTTCCAGCTACAATAGCCATTTACAACATTATCAATGTCTACACTGTATTTCTGATCAATTTGATGTTATTTTAGTGGACAAAAAATGTGCTTTTCTTTAAAAAACAAGGACATTTCTAAGTGACCCCAAACTTTTGAACGGTAGTGTATGTTACAGCACTTTGGTTTCACTAATAAATATGTTGAAATGGAACCAAAGTACAGTATCTGTTTCTGTCTTCTGTCATTTTAAAATAGGATAGATGGGCAACATGGTCTACTACGGTATAGGTTGAATGTGATAGTCTAGCCTATAACTCAATTCCTATTCTATTCAGAGTTTAGAGAAATGAATACAATTTGAAATGAGCTATTATCAGGCTGGTTAATGCAATGCATGTCTGTTGAATTTGGAAAAATCCACCAACACTTGGCCCCGACCCTACCTACTCAGCCAATCATGAGCCACTACTGTGTTGCGGCCGTGGCATACTACATACTTTTTACTAAACAGTACGTGCTAAATAGTATGCGACGATGAGTAAATAGTATACAGTTTAAGAATGTAGGACGCTAGTATGGGTATTCAACACGGCCTGTGTCTTCTTTCAGGTCTGTGTGCTTCTCTCACAATGGACTTTATAGGTGCGTACCTATGTTCTAGACCCTTGTCAAGTGTTCTAAAAGTGTTCAAAAAGTGTCTGCTAAATGTTGTGCTGGGACTATAAACTGAAAATTATCGACACTGACCATATCGAAAGTTAATTGCTTTGCCAATTTTTTTTGCAGTATTACTTTAGTGCCTTGTTGCAAACAGGATGCATGTTTTGGAATATTTTTATTCTGTACAGGCTTCCTTCTTTTCACTCTGTCAATTAGGTTAGTATTGTGGAGTAACTACAATGTTATTGATCCATCCTCAGTTTTCTCCTATCACAGCCATTAAACTCTATAACTAATTTAAAATCACCATTGGCCTCATGGTGAAATCCCTAGCAGTATATTTACCCATCTACCAATAAGTGCCCTTCTTTGCTAGGTATTGGAAAACCTCCCTGGTATTTGTGGTTGAATCTGTGTTTGAAATTCACTGCTCGACTGAGTGACATTACAGATAATTGTATGTGTGGAGTACAGAGATGAGGTAGTCATTCAAAAATCATGTTAGGCCTCCCGAGTGGCGGAGCGGTCTAAGGCACTGCAGTGCTTGAGGCGTCACTATGACATAGGTAGCAAGGGTCTATACCAGGGGTATTCAACTCTTACCCTAGGAGGTCCAAAGCCTGCTGGGGTATTTTCTTCTACTTAATAATTAATTGCACCCATTTGGTGTTCCAGGTCTAAATCAGTCCCTGATTAGAGTGTTACAATGAAAAAATGCAGTGGAACTGGCTTCGAGGTCCAGAGTTGAGTTTGAGGGATCTATACGGTACGTACCAGTGGCGAACCATCAGGGCCTTCTAGGCCTTCAGAAAAGGCCTAAGGATTTATAAAAATGCATATATATTTTTTAATTTAATTTCACTTTAATTTTAATTTAATCTTTATAAAAATTGTAATAATTTTCTGATTTCATCTCTTCAGTGTGTGTTGGAAAGAGAAGGGTTAATACTGAAAAGAAAAAATTATCCAATCAGCATTTTCTTTGATGGTCTCTGGGTAGAAAAATCTAGCTAGCAGCTCAGCCAGCCATTGGCTAGGTCTTCAGAAGCTGGACAGAAGGCCTCTGCCATTCAACTGTATTAGAGCAGAATTTTGGAGTGACAGTGGAATGAACCAATCGCATTTTGAATTGCAATGGATGGGACCGTTTAAAAAAAAAGAGACGTATCTACGAAGGCTAAGACACGTCACTACTGAGAGCGCAAGAGGTAATGAATTCATAATACAGAATAGCAGGCTGATAAACAGCCAATACAGTAGGTGGCGGAAATTCACTAATAGGTTGTAAAAAGCGAGCACAAGAGAAAATAATCAGTGTCGCAAACAGTAGTTTTCCCACGCTAACGCTAGCAAAGTTCGCTAGCATGTGTTGTAAATGTAGTAGTGTGATAATAGCTAGCTTGTGTTGTAGTAATGTGACAATGGCGACAGCGGCTGCAGCAGCTGTTATCAAACTTCAAGGTGGATGTTGTTGCAAATTTTTTTGCATCACTCTTTTCAAACTTAGTTTACAAATTATCATAATCTGGTGAGTTGCACTGTTTATTGTTGCAGCTCGCTTGCTGTTAGTTATCTCTTTGAAAATAATGACTGTAAAACATTGTTGCATTTAAACTTTAGATGAACGGTTAGTGTGATATATTTGTAATGGTAAGTAATAGCTGGTTTGTTCATTTAATTTTGGACATGAAATGGTTGTGCTTTTCTATTGTCATGACTTCATGGGGCCTACTGGAGTGAATGGGCTACTTATTCTTTAACATTATTTGATGTTGTGTGTGACTGCAGTCTCCTGTCTATCAGCCGTGTCTATGTGTTTGACCAAAATTGGCTCTCCTTCAGCGCCATGGAGTGCACAGGTATTACAGTTGCTGTCCTTTCAGCACCATGAGCCTGTCACCTTTGATGTGACACTGTTGTTGTTGCTACTGATAGTGGTGTTGGCTACCATAAATTGTGTAAACAGTGCATTATTTTATGCTGTGTGTCATGTTGTGTCCATGCCGGTTCTGTCTCTGTGTGTGTGGCAGCCTGAAGCGCGGCCAGGCCTGTTTGATTCATTCATAATGTCATCAAAAATAATTGCTCCTCCTTCACTAGAACTAGAATGGTCCAACGACAGAAGATATAATGTTGGGCGCATTAAGTGATGCTATGTTTTATGTTATTTTCGAGAGTTTTTTTTATACAACGTATTGGAAGATTTTGGTCCCTCTGAAGGGGGTCCTATAGTCACGGTTCGCCACTGCTAAGAAACTGTATACAATATTATAAAATGGGTTGTTTGGATCCTGGATGCTGATTGATTGATAGCAGGGAGTTATTCACCACAATCCCCAGGTAATTTTCCAAATTTTTTAAAGTCCCATCTAATGCAGGCTCCCTCCCTCTCCCGTCATCTACACACCATGAATTCATTTTAATTCATCTACACACCATTATTATAATACTTTTTGGGAGATAGCAATCAGCATGTTTGGCTATTTACTTCAGAATCTCAGAACTAACAACTGGTTTTTGTCAGGACTATATCCTATGGTGATAGGATGAATTACAATGAATTCACTCATTAAAATAACGTTTTTAATCAAAACATGTCGTTAATCTTTTTTAAATATGTTGGCAACTGTTTTATAAAATCAATAAGGCCCTCAAACCCGGGAATTATTGTGAATAACATCCTCCTAAGGGCTGTTTCCCAGGCCCTTCGCAAACTGCCCTTAGTCAGGAGTTATTCACAAGATAATCCCCAGGTTCTTATGCCTTATTGCTTAATTATACAACGGGTGGGTCTAATACTGAATGCTGATTGGTTAAAACCGCATTCCAGCCGGTGTCTATTCCACAAGTTACCACCAGCTAAATCTATGACGTTAAAATGCCTATTTACTCTGTTCCACCTGACTGCGCAATCCACAGTCTCATCAGCCCAGCCAAGCAATTTATGAACTTGATCTCCACTATAAAAAGCATCTAGACATTATCTCACATTTCTTTTAAACTAACATTTTGTTTTCAACAGCGGAGATTTGTATGAACCTTGCTGTCTGTCTCTCCGACATTTGCAACATTGTTTCAATATTCAAATTCGACCTCCAGCTGTCCCATAGTAATGAATGTGTCGGGATTCAGGATGAGACAGACAGGTAGGCAGCTTTTCTTAGCCAGTCATCATTTTTATGGATATATACAAAGAACTATCAATAGAAAACAGGTCAAACGAAACGAAGTGCAGCTAGTTTGAAGTCTTTCCAGCTTCAGTTTGAAGTGATTGTGTTAGCTGTGTTGTTGGCTAGCTCTCGAACAACAGTGTCCTGACGAGAGAGCACATGTTCTATGCCAGGGGAAATCGCACATCATTAGCCCATTGTTATGGATGTATCCAAATAAATGTCACTAGAAAATGTCCCTTAAACAAATGCAAATGCAGCTACTTCGTTGTTATTCTGGCTGCACTGTTTAACGTGACTGTAAATTAGCCAAAGTTGGCTAGCTAGCAAGCAAGGGATAAGAACGTTGCCAGCCAATATGGCAATGGAACATTTAGAACGAACGACTGGGTCGCGTCCATAGATACAGAACAAAAAGACTGAACGACTGGGTCGCGTCTCTGGCAACCGAACCGATAGAACGAACGACCAGCCGGCTTGGGTAGCAACCCTAGATTTGTGTCAGGACTATATTTTGTGGAATAATGAAATAGTATGAATAAATTAATCAAAATAACATTTTTTATGAAAATATGTCAATCATTATTTGAATATGTTGGTAACCCGTTGTATAAAAGTGATAATGCCCTCGAAGCCGGTGTTTGGAGGATATATTGGTGAAATGAGGTGACATCGTCTTTTGTTGTTGAAACCTTTTGGAGTGCCACCGTTTCCCAATGTTTCTTGAACTTGGGATTTCATTTGAACCTATCTTTTATTGTTATATAAAATGCTAAAAATGCTAATTAGTCTTGTCATGTATTCCCCCAGAATGGATCAGTGCCATTATCATTCTCAGTATCGGTTCAATTATCCCCTATGCCCATATTATTATAGGTAAGTAGAAGTTACGTTCAAATAAAATACACTTTGTGCAAATAATGACAATAATGAAAAACAAATAGTGAATGCATCTCCAACGTGGAAAAAATATATAATATGCCTTGTCCTTTATTCCTCCAGCATTGATCTCTCTCATCATCCGCTGTATTGTTACTATTATTGTTGCAGTTATCCCCTTGGCCCACTTTGTCATAGGTAAGTAGTAGTAAAGAAATAACACTTAGCAAAAACATTATTGCATATTCATTATGCAAAAGCTACCGTTCTAAAATTCCTTTACCTCTCTATCTTTAGGTGCTGAGTGCTTCAATGACTGCCCTGTAATGTTCTTCATCCCTATCTACCTGATAGGGTTGGGATGTTTTTATGTAGTCCTGATGTTACTGTCTACGTTTATGGCCATCAAAGACTGCCAAGAGTTCTGCTCATCGGTCGTAAGGATCAGTCTGGTCATTCTAATGTTCTGGCTCTTTGCTGGTGAGCGAGATTCCCAATCCAGACATACGTGGCACTGTTTGAACTTGTTTTGAAAATGCATTCTTTCTCCCTTCCTTCAAGGAACAATCATGGCACTCCCTTACCTGTGTCTTGTATATAAATAAATAATATGCCATTTAGCAGACGCTTTTATCCAAAGCGACTTACAGTCATGCGTGCATACATTTTTTTTTGTGTATGGGTGGTCCCGGGGATCGAACCCACTACCTTGGCGTTACAAGCGCCGTGCTCTACCAGCTGAGCTACAGAGGACCACATATATAGTATACAGAATATAACTGTTTATTATACGAAAACTGTATGTACACATTTATTATACACTGAACAAAAATATACTGAACAAAAATATGAACGCAACATGTAAAATGTTGGTCCCATGTTTAATGAGCTGAAATCAAAGATCCCAGAAATGTTCCATATGCACAAAAAGCGTATTTCTCTCAAATGTTGTGCACAAATGTGTTTACATCCCTGTTAGTGAGTATTTTATCCTTTGTCAAGATAATCCATCCACCTGACAGGTGTGGCATATTTTGTCACACAACACTATGCCACAGATGTCTGTCGTTTTAAAGAATTTGGCAGTACGTCCAACCGGCCTCACAACCGCAGACCACGTGTAACCACACCAGCCCCGGACCTCCACATCCGACTTCTTCACCTGCTGAATGTTGCGTTTATATTTTTGTTCAGTATATTTTAGTTAGCTTGATAAGCTAGCTTAAATTGCTAATAATAAAGTTAGCTATCTTGCTTAACATTGAAAATAAGGTTAAACAAGCTACATTATCCATATGGTTGAAAAGGTGAAAGGTCAGTGGTGAAAGGTCCATTTTCTCAGAGTGTCCCATTTGTAATTATGACTTGGAGGGTCGTTCAAGTAAAATTTTCCAGTTGGAAATCCAAACTTCCGATAACTCCGACAGCATGTAAACACCCCACTAGACTCTTAGTCTCCAAATTTGATACATACAGTTGAGGTCGGAAGTTTACATACACCTTAGCCAAATACATTTAAACTCAGTTTTTCACAATTCCTGACATTTAATCCTAGTAATAATTCCCTTTCTTAGGACAGTTAGGATCACCACTTTATTTTAAGAATGTGAAATGTCAGAATAATAGTAGAGATAATTATTTATTTCAGCTTTTATTTATTTCATCACATTCCCAGTGGGTCAGAAGTTAACATACACTCAATTAGTATTTGGTAGCATTGCCTTTAAATTGTTTAACTTGTGTCAAACGTTTCGGGTAGCCTTCCACAAGCTTCCCACAATAAGTTGGGTGAAATTTGGCCCATTCCTCATGACATAGCTGGTGTAACTGAGTCAGGTTTGTAAGCCTCCTTGCTCGCACACGCTTTTTCAGTTCTGCCCACAAATGTTCTATAGGTTTGAGGTCAGGGCTTTGTCATGGCCACTCCAATACCTTGACTTTGTTGTCCTTAAGCCAATTTGCCACAACTTTGGAAGTATGCTTGTGGTCATTGTCCATTTGGAAGACCCATTTGCGACCAAGCTTTAACTTCCTGACTGATGTCTTGAGATGTTGCTTCAATATAACCACATAATTTTCCTTCCTCATGATGCCATCTATTTTGTGAAGTGCACCAGTCCCTCCTGCAGCAAAGCACCCCCACAGCATGATGCTGCCACCCCCATGCTTCACTGTTGGGATGGTGTTCTTCGGCTTGCAAGCTCCCCCGTTTTTCCTCCAAACATAATGATGGTCATTATGGCCAAACAGTTCTATTTTTGTTTCATCAGACCAGAGGACATTTCTCAAAAAAGTCAGATCTTTGTCTCCATGTGCAGTTGCAAACCGTAGTCTGGCTTTTTTATGGCTGTTTTGGAGCAGTGGCTTCTTCCTTGCTGAGCAGCCTTTCAGGTTATGTCGATATAGAACTTGTTTTACTGTGGATATAGATACTTTTGTACCTGTTTCCTCCAGCATCTTCACAAAGTCCTTTGCTGTTGTTCTGGGATTGATTTGCACTTTTCGCACTAAAGTACGTTCATCTCAATGAGACAGAAAGCGTCTCCTTCCTGAGCGGTATGACGGCTGCGTGTTCCCATGGTGTTTATACTTGCGTACTATCGTTTGTACAGATGAACGTGGTATCTTCAGGCGTTTGGAAATTTCTCCCAAGGATGAACCAGACTTGTGGAGGTCTAAAACTTTATTTATTTTCATTTTCCCATGATGTCAAGCAAAGAGGCACTGAGTTTGAAGGTAGGCCTTGAAATACATCCACAGGTACACCTCCAATTGACTCAAATGATGTCAATTAGCCTATCAGAAGCTTCTAAAGCCATGACATCATTTTCTGGAATTTTCCAAGCTGTTTAAAGAAACAGTCAACTTAGTGTATGTAAACCTTTGACCCACTGGATTTGTGATACAGTGAATTATAAGTGAAATAATCCGTCTGTAAACAATTGTTGGAAAAATGACTTGTGTCATGCACAAAGTAGATGTCCTAACCGACTTGCCAAAACTATTTGTTAACAAGACATTTGTGGAGTGGTTGAAAAACAAGTTTTAATGACTCCAACCTAAGTGTATGTAAACTTCTGACTTCAACTGTAGGTTCCTCTCCTTACAAGGAACACATTTGTTTCAAGGATCCATATTGTCCACCATGATCCAAGAGCCGTGAGTCCAATTCCAACTGATGGTGGTAGTATGGCACCGGCTTGGACTCTGTCAATAATAATATTATAAATACAAATATATTATAATTATACATTTATTTCCCTACCACTTTGTCTACTATAGGTAGTGGGGTTGTTTTCGCTGTATTTCAAACAACAAGCTACAACCCGACCCTCAGCGACGGGAGCTCCAACCAGACCATTGCCAACGAGAGCTACAACCATACCTTCTGCAGTGGGAGCAACAACCAGTCCATCACCAACCCAGAGTACTGCAACAAAACTCTATACCTGTTTGCATTCTCTACCTGTCTGATATGGATCCTTGTGGTTGTTCTGTTAACGGTTGGCCTCAAGTTCTATGGATACAGCAGAATTGGGATGATCTTTAAGTGCTTGGGGCTGTGGTTGTTAGGTAATGACCATATTTATTTGTGTATTTATTTGTGTTTCGAAGAGTCTACTATACGACACAATGGCGCTTTAGTTGTTGTTTAATCTTTGTATTACATTTTTGGGGGATGAGAAAACAACTTCAGAGAAGCTGGAAGGACTAAAAGCAGATAGAAAGTATGTAGAAATGATAATGGATCTATATACCTTTAAATCATTTTGTCTTTAATCGTCTTTTCAAGGCATGTGTGGTTGATTATGCCTGCTTCAAAATGATTAGAGGAAAAAGTGTTTATTTACAGTTGTGCTTTCATTCTTTGTACTCTACCTTTTGATTAAAAATAAAGCCAGTTACAGTTGATAGTGTGTAAAGTGAATGGGTCATGCAGTTTGACATACTTTATCACAAAAAGGGACAACCAAATACACCACCACTTTCAGTCTATGAGCTTGTTATCTGTCGGCCATATTTGTGCCCCAAAATAATAAGAACAAGTTGGTCTTTCCTTTCTCCTCCTGCAGCCTACACCTGCATCCAATTTGACTGGACATGAGTAGAGAGGGAGAGGGAAAGAGTCTTGGTTAACATATTTAATCCCAATGTAATTTAGGAGGGTGAAAGCTGCATGTCAGCAGTAACAAAAGGGGGTTTTGTGGTCGCTTGAAAGGTTTTCATGACAGCTGGGTTACAGTTTCTCTTTTTTTGGGGTTATCAACTGACAAGCTGTGCTGACGAGGTGGACAGACGGCACATAGCTGGAATAGTTCCTCTGAAGATGATTGTTCGATAACACAGCAAAATGCTATAGTTTTTCACCCAAACACATTCAACTACTGTATTATAATACATTACATGTTTGACTCCACTCACTATAACATTTTAGGTTTGCCTGCTACAGTTATAACAAAATATACTGTACATAGCTTACAGTAACACTACATGGGGTAAGTCAAAGTGAAGCTTGTCATTTGTGTTCCGACTGTGTTCCCTGCATCTCCTCTCTCATATTTCAACGAAACGGTCCCCACCGCGGCCAAGGAATGCATCTAGTGCCATAAATCTGGGCCTTGATAGGAACTTGGCTGCCCGACAGCAGTACAGCACAACTATGTGATGTACACTGTACGGTAACTATGTTTTAAGGTGAACATTAACACCGTGAAGGAGGATGTACAGGGGGGTAAGGACAAGGTCTCCTACAAAGAAGGAATTGGGGAAATGACAGAACAATGAAAACAAACCTGTCTCACTCCTGGGGATCCTGCTGGTAATGTTCCTTCACTAGCAAATCACTCTGATCACACAAAGAATAGGCCTACATGTCTCTACTGTGGTCGGACTTTGTCTGTCATTTGATACATGCTGTACAGCTACGCTCCGATCCCATTATAGAGGACAGGCAGTATCTTCTGTCATCTCCTGAGTTAAAGCGCCCTCTGTTGTCTGAATGCACCATGGTGTGACAGTTTGAGAGAGACTGTGTGTTTGTGTGGTGTTCTGCACGGTTCTTCAGAGAGGAGGGAGTTAATGAAAAAGCCAGCCGGTGCTCTGTGCCAGGTTTGTTTGTCACATCTCCCTTGTCTGTGCCTTATGCAAATAGGCAGGGGGCTGCGCGAGAGGGTCCATGGGAAACTGGTGGAGCTAATCCACCATGTTAGACTAGGAGAGGAGGACTTTTCAATACAACCCCCCATTTAACCCCCTCCTGACACACACACGCACACACACACAAACACACGCACACAGAAACACACACAGCTGAACACCTGTTTCTTTTCCACACATCAATATGTGTGTAAATCCCACGGTCTGAAGAACATCCAAACCTATATGTCCCATACTAATTGGCCTCAGTGTGTTGATTGTGGATGTCATACCACAAGGAAAAACATTTGATTAGAAAATGGAAGACAATTGTATGGGAATTGTCAGTGCTGAGAATCCTCTCTTCATCCCATAAAAATTATATATATCTTTTCAAATAATTAATCTATGATTGGTTATATTGATTTTAAGAAATCTTGAAAATAAAAATACGTACAGTGCCAGTTAAGTATACACTCCCCTTGCTCCATCTTCACATTTTGCTGCTGTAAAATGTTATCTATAAGTGATTTCATTTTATTTGTTTCCTACAGATCTACACAACCTACTCAACATTTTCAAAGTTAAATAAAATTATCAAACATTTTCCAAATTAATAAGAACATATAAAAAACAAGATGTCTTGATTGTGTCTGTCTTCACACCCCAGAGTAAATACTTGGTGAGAGCACCTTTGGCAGCCATTACAGTTGTGAATACCTTTTAATCAGTGGTGACCCGTCATTGAGTCCTACATTTCTAGCAAAAAAAAAATATATTTATATAAAAACATTTTTATTTTATTTTTTGGGGGGGCTTGCCTGTTTTGCATGTTATTTTGGCATTAATACGTGTCACATATCAGTTTGCAAACAATGGTCTCTTTTTTGCTTTCTTGAGTAAGGCAGCTCCAAAATGCAGGTGTTTCAGCCTAGCTCAGTACTTCCTGTGGTGGCGGGGCAGCCAGCGGAAAATACGGAGCGTAGGTATTGGTAATGTTCTCTAGTTGCGCCATGATTAGCTCAGTGTTCTGTCACTCGTGGGGACAGTACGTCACCGCCAAGTCAATTGGTAGAGCTAGAAAATTCAAGCCCCTTGGGCCACAGGTAAAATCACGTCAAATCACGTTATATCTACAGTAGCTTTGATTGGACTGATCATGTCAACATCAAACTTTCAAAATCTTAGCTAGCAGTCACCATTATGAATCAAGTCGACAATCTACTGGCAAATCCTTTTTAATCCTTGTCATATGAAGAGAAATAATGAAGATAAATTATAGATAAAACGTATCGGTGCTCATCGGCCGTTGGACATAAACATTACACAACAAGTTGGAAATCGCAAATTCAACAATGAGTGGTTTGGAAGGAATCAGTGACAGTGACTTACTGCAAGCTTTGCAAAGCAATCACTAGCCTGCTATTCAGTGGTGTGGCTGTGTGGTCCCAAATCTGGGATTAAGGGTCTCTTTTCCAAGTTTAAAATTAAAAACATTCAACATTGGCCATGCTGTCAATGAAGCATGATTTGTGCCGCGCTCAAAACAACTGTTAACTCGGAACTGCGAAAACTTGACTTCAGTGAGTTCAAGACAACTGGGAAGTTGGGAAAAAACAAGCTCAGACTGGGAAAATACGTTTTGAACGGTCATCCAACTCGGAATTGTAAATCCGGAACTTGGGCCTCTTTCTAGAGCTACGACCTGAAGATCAATGATGTCATCATGATTCAACCTGTTTTTTTTCAGAGTTCCCAGTTTTCTTGAAAGCACCATAAATCCAGAGAATGCCAGATTTTGATGACAAAATTTGCCCACAAAGGACAGCCGCGCCACCTTCCTGTTCAAATGAGCACAGCACAACAAAGTGAGTCCAAAAATGTATTATATGCTGCTGCATAAATTATGTAATATGCCAGGGGGATATGTATACTGTAGCTAAGAAAGTAATACCAAGTGTATGTTGTGTAGTAAACTGTTAGTAGCCCATGTGCCTCACCCTAATCATTTGGTCTATTTACCCCTCTTAATTCCGCCTACTGTTCTGACTTGGTAGTGCACATGTAGCCTATAACCTGTTTTAGAGAAATGTAATCATCGAATATTGTAAGAGCTTTCATTGTCTGCTTATATGCTCACTTTATTTATCCTACAGTTCTGACTTGGTGTACAGGGAGAACACTGTAAGAACAGCCCATGTTCTGAATTCTGTCGCTGTACATTTCAAAAGTGCTAAACAAATAGTTATATTAACTACATCCGTCCTAGCTCGCTCATTAATGTCTTAATCGAAATTACGAATTGCCTCTTATCCGCTTGTCGTCCCGTTATGCCATAGTTTGTACATCTCAATTGTCATTAGAAACCACATTTGTTTAAGCAAGTCAACCATATCAGCTTTGTTTTTTTAAAAGGCAGTAAATGAGGCTGAATGAACTGTTTCACTGCCAGACAAGGCTCCGCTGATAGCCAGGTGTAGCAGTGGTAAAATGTCGGAACTGCTGCTGGGACAGCTTGTAGCCCTAACAGTTTGTGGACACCGTTTTTCACCGTTTTAATGCAAGTAATGTATTGTTTAGTGTTGTGTTGTGTTGTGGCTTTGCTGGCATGCATCCCACTTTTTTTGTTTTGTTTGCCCAACCAAGATTTACATGCTAAAATCGCCACTGTTTTTAATAAGATTCTACCTACTTTTTACAACTAAGGGAAACATATATCCATTACTTTAGTAAAAATTGCTCAAGCACTAACTGTGGTTGGGAATCATTGATGGACAGCAATATTCAAACCGTGTCTCTGATTTTCAAGCAGATTTAAGTCAGGACTGAGAATGGACAGGAACACTCAACATCTCTTGGAAAGCCATTCTGGTGTGTCTTTGGCATTACAATTTGTATTATCGACCCGCTGAAAAATACAACTCTATCCCATGGTTGGGTTTTCAGAAGACTGAGGCGGGTTTTCCTCTAACTTTATACCTGGGCTTTGCTCTTTTCATATTTATTTTGATCCTGACAAACTCCTAGTCCCTGCTGTTGACAAGCATACCCATAACATGATGCTTGTTTGTCAGGATCAAAATAAATATAAAAAGAGAAAAGCCCTGGTAAAAGGTTAGAGGAAAACCCGCCGTGGTCTTCTGAAAACCATGGGAAAGAGTTGAGGTGTTGAGAGTTCCTGAATGGTCCAGTCTTAGTCCCATCTTAAGTCTGCTTGAAAATCTGAGACAAGGTTTGAATATTGCTGTCCATCAATGATTCCTAAACGAATTTACTGAGCTTGAGCAATTTGTCAAAAGCAATGAATATATGTTGCCTTAAGAGTTGTGCAAGGTTGGTAGAATCTTATTCAAAATGATTCAGTTGTAATGACAAAAATGACATATTTTAGGTTGTGTAGTAGATTGCATTTTAAGGCAGCAAAATGTGAAGACTG